TTTTTTGATCACAGGACTGCCTTTAGTCACACAGACGTCAGTGACAAATATCAGCGTCATTTCTGTACATTTCCATAGCATTTAAGGAAATACATGCATCATCATGGCGGTTACCATAATCTCCATGTCGTAATGTGTGGCTGACGCTGTTACTCAATATTTGCATGTGCTTTCATGTCGGGATTCACCTTTGATTTGTTGGTTTAATTAATCTGTCAAATGTTGAAAGCCTGTGGCAAGATATCAAATTCAATACCATACACTGAACAAACTGAATGAAATCCTTGAAATTTTGCTCAATAATGCTAGAGCCCTTGGTTGGTGCAGTGGTGGCAGCTTTTATACGGCCCACACAGTATGAACAGGAGTCTGGTGGCCCACTGTTGAATAACAAATTTGGTTATTAATATAAATAATATTATTAATAATATAATATCTTTAAACCAATGTGAGAGTTTTTGGCACAACATTTGGATGATCTGTTAATGTGTAACCTGATCGTCAATTAACATAACTCATCTTTTACCCAACTGCAGCCGACCACATCAAATGGAATCTTATTTCGGTCGGAATATAACTGGGCTTTATCCTAAAATATTTCTTTTAATCTGGGACATAAAAATTCCCCAAAATCAAAGCGATTGATAAACTGACTCACCAGCCTACAAACAAAGTAAATGAACCCTAAACTCACTCTTTGAAGGGAGTACTGTAAAAATACAGTGTGTCAGTGAGACATTTTAAATTAACATCAATAAATGAAGAAAAATGAAGTTTATTACTTTTAGGGTCAACAACGTACCTTGTACAATCCAGAAGTTTTGCTCACTGTTTTTGCAGCTCAGTGTGGCTCAGACTATTGTCTGCTACCAGCCCTGGAAAAACAGATTAAAATAATAAATTAATTCAAGAAAAAATAAAAAATAATAAACATTTCAGACTAATTGTATGATGTTTGACTCTTTTTCTATTTGATGTCTTTGATCATAGAGCTGGTGGAAACCACTCTGTTTTCTGGGTGAAAGTTCAAGCTCGAGGAGTGGGTTGTTAAAAAAAAAAAAAAAAAAAAAAAGGAGAAGAAAAGTAACGTGTTCCAACATGGAGGAGAAAACAAGGATACAGATGCTGCAGGAGTGTGGAATCTGGGTAAAAGGTCGCCATCCTTCTGGAAGTGAATGAATGGAGAATCAGCCGTTGGATTGTAAATAACAGCTGCTTTAATGAATCCCCTGTGACGTCAGCAGCTGAAGAGCAGCGTTACCTTTCACACACTTCTCACTGGAGATCCTCCTAAACATGCTCAGAAAAGGAAAATGTCAGGAAAAAATGAATTCTCGATTTAAATGACAATTACTTAAAAAAAACAATATAATCAGTTAGTCATTAGTGAAGACTTTTTTTATTTCATCAGCACTGATGCTGCCCTTTGTCTCTTATTTCTCTATTTTTAAAGCTACAGTGAGCTGAAATCTCTGACAAGTCAAGAAAAGTTAGAAAGTAGGTGGCAGTAATGAAAGTTAAAGTATAATATGCAACATATCCAAGATCTGGATGTGAGCAGGATTATCCTAGCTAGGAGGAAATACATTTTTGTAATATACCTCAAATTATAATCTGAAAAAAAAACTCTCACATAATTCCAAAAGTGTGGTAAATAAGTAAAACTAGTCAAATAAGTAAGTGAATACACAAGCATGTCGAGTGACAACATTTTTGAATAAAGTTCAGTTATAAGAATCTTAAATGGCAACATTTTCTGTTGAAGTTAAATTATAATCAAGGACCACAGGGATCAGATTTACAGTTGTACTCTCCAAATGTTTGTGAATTTCGATCACAGCTTTATATTCCACACCATGTTTCCTGCTGCACGTCTGATCCCCGCAGTGTATGAACAAGGGGGTCGTGTTGGGAGTGTGGGGGCAGGGAGTCTAGGGAGGGGGCAGGGGGGGGAAGGGGAACTGATGCAACATAGCAGGCACGTGACAACAGCCTCACCTTTCACACACTAACCCACTGGTGCCTAAAAACATCGTAACACACCCAGGGTGGACTCTCATGTACTGTACATGTGCAGACGTGACGGGACATGCTGCGGTTTAATGATGTGCTCAGCCAGCCCCTCCCGCCCACCGCCTCAGGTTTGATCCATACGTCCCAAACATTTTTGTAAAACATTAGCAAGTACACAGGTTTTCAGCTTCTTCTACATAACAGTGAGAAGAGCAGATATTTATCACCGTCCTGCCACCATGACCATCTCAATGCTGATTAAAGCCACACTGACGTTTAAGAAAAAAAAATCTGAAATTACAAGAATAAAATGTAAATTCAGGAAAATAAAGTTTATTAGCAACACTGTTAGAGGAACATGTTTTCGCCAATAAAATAATAATTTTAAGGAGATTAAAATCCTAATTTTAAATGATGTGTTTTGGGTGAGACAAGACAGAAGCAGACTAACCACACAACTTCTCATCAATTTATGATGTCATAATAGTTCTCATAAACGAATAACTTTTGTGTCATACTGTCAGAAAAGTCGTGTCGCAAACGTACGACTTTTTTCCTCATAAACTTTGGACTTTTTCTCAGAAAGTTATGACTTCAAGGGGGTTTTATTTTTAATAGAAACGAATAGAAAAACGTTTTTATTTAAAAATATACATAAAATATAAAAATATATTGTTCGACAACTAAGAAACTTATTAAACTAATTTTAAAATAACAACTAAACCAAATGCATTGATATTATAGTAGTTCTGCTGCAAAAGGGGCGGGAGTGGGTATTATCATCAAGTTCATCCGTCCAAAAAACAAACTGTGATGAAGTTAAAATAACATCATCAGATCATTCAGACCAGTGAATGACGACTGTGTTGGTGAGTCAGAGTCAGAGGAGGAAGGAGCTGCAGACACAGTGCTGCGCCTCACGTCAGCCTGGAGCAGGATCTCCAAGGATACGTGCGGGGACTCAGGCTGCAGCTGGGGTACGTGCAGCGCAGTGTTCTCTGGGAAAACACTCAGCTCAGGCCTGAACGCCACACGTCACAGCGGGTTTCTGTCAATGTTTGTTCCACTCTGGAACTTTGTAACTGGGTAAAATGTTGTGTAAATAAATTCCATCAGATTGTCTGGTTTCATTTTCTGAGGGTTATTGACTTTGATCTGGTTAAACAGGTTAATCTGTGTCATTAAAAATGAAGCACGTGTCTGCAGAGAGGAGTAAAAACTAACTTTTTTTTAGGGGCAGTGGTACTAAAGTTTTGGCAATTTATTGTCAGAATTAAAGACAAATCTCTAAATATCTGCTTATTCTTCCACCTGGGAGGGGGGTAGGGTGGGAGAGGCAGATTCAAGGAGGGCCATGGTCAATAAAATTATTAAATTGATATATAATAATATGACACTAAGTTAAATGGGAATGGTAGTCAAAAATACAATAAAAATACATTGTTTTACAAAAATAGCCATAAAAAATGTGGCTGTGTTCAGAGCCCAGTAAGAACTCTTTTCATTGGCCCCAAAATCCCTGGCAGCGCCCCTGCTTCAATATGTCTTTTTCCTTGGTTACATTTTTGCATATGTAGCTGTTTAGTGTATATGTATAAGGGGGGATTATTTTAAAGTTAAAGAATAGGTCATCCAGGTTTGACCTTCAACTTATGGCAATGTTTACTGTTACTATTCTTGTTAAATAGAAATAAGTTTAGACCGAGGTCTAAAGGCTGCTGCTGGACCATGTGTGTGTTTTAGTCTCTGTCATCTGTGCTTCATTAGAGCTACACGTGCTTCTGTGTTTGTGAGTGTGGTTCTGATGACAGCCTTAGGGTTGAACTTTCCCCTACTTCTCACAGTCACTCCTCCATCACTGAATGTTCTCCTACATTCCTCACTCAGGCAGAAGACTCACACACACACACACACAACAATGTCATTGTTTCCTGCTGCTGCAACACACACTGACTTAGACACCCTGGTCAGACTGTCTGTGTTTCAGTTCATGGCTGACAAACCTGACGGATGTGAGGAAAAAACGTTTTTAGTTATTACAGTTTTACATCAGTGTGTTTCTTCATCATTTCATTTGTCAGGTTTGTCTTTTTATGAAGAAAACTATGGTAAAGTTAGTGATTGACTAAAATGTTTTTTTTTTTAATTTAGTTGTTCAAACATAAGAATGGGCTGTTGTAACAACTGAATTAAAAACACTGATCCAAAAAATTGACAATTTTTATATTTGACAATGTTATAAAATTGACAATGTTATATTTATTTATGCCAGGTATTTATAGTTCCAGATATTTCAAGTTCATTTAATTTGCTCATTCATGCTCCAA